TTTCAAGCAAGCCGATTTTTGACTGGTTCATTGCTTACATCAATAATACAGTTAAGCAAATACCCATCATTTAACGCTAAATAAACTTATAAAATCCCATATAAAGTTAAAAAATATTTTCATAACCTTTCTTGCATATATACAAATATGTATTGCTAAAATACATCTGTATGTACGAGTATATCTCCATATCCCACAACGAATGCATCGCGCTGGTGTAATTGCTTCGGCGCTTCTCAACTTGTTGTTCCAAGAGTTCGTGAAGGTTGCTGTTGTTTTTCAAATTAAAATGTTGCTGCCACAAATTATGTATTTATATGTAAATATATACATATGTGCATAAGTAGTTTTGCGGAAAGTGCAGTTTATTATTGCGCTTCAACCAAATCGCTAAAACCACCGTAACAACTGATGCAGCTACGCCACTTGAAAAGTCATGTTAAACTCATGTGCTTACAGTTGTATTTTAATACTTATATAAACATACTTACATAAACATACAAATACCCATGTAATATGTATATGTTTAGATGTACATATGTATAAGCAAAAGATTTATGGCAGCGAAACATAAACTCCATTCCATACCTTTATGAAAGAGTATATAAACATATATTTATATTTTCATCTCATGCATAGCTACGAGTATTTGAGAGCCTTGTGGACGGTTGTGCAAGTTTTAAGTTTAAAACTGACGTTTTACTAGAGTAATTTCAAACCACTCTAACACAACAAACGAACAAATAAAAATAACATCTAGTAAAACAAAAAAAAAAAAAAATAAAATTAAAAAATGAATTAAAATAAAATAAAGTCTAAAAAAATATAAAAACATTGACTAACATTAAATTGAATAATAAAAATGAAACAAAATAAAACAAAACACGACATTATGTAATAAAAAAAGTAAAAAAAAAATTAAATAAAGTTAAATTAATACAATTAAATAAAATAAATTAAAATAAAATAAAACAANAGTAAAATAAAAAGTTTAAACTAAAGTTAATAAATTGTATAAAATAAAATAAAGCAAAGTAAAAAAATATAATAAACTAAAGTTAAAATAAAATAAAATATAATAAAATAAACAAAATATAAAAAATTAAACAAAGAAATAAAGATAAAATAAAATAATGTAAAATAAAACTAAATAAAAAATAAAACAAAATAAAATAAAATGAAACAATATAATATAAAATAAAACAAGGTAAAACAACGAGAATTTATATTAAATTTAAAAACATGGAAAAAAATAAAATAAACAAAAAAAATTAAATAACACTAATTAAAAATTATAATATAATATAAAAAATAAACAAAATAGAATAGAATAAAATAAATCAAAAAAAAATAAAGATCAAATAAAATCACATGTAATAAAATAAAATTAAAAATTTAAATAAATTAAAATAAAATTAAATTAAATAAAATAGAACAAAATCAAAATCAAATAAAATTTTACGAAATAAAATATAAAACTGAATTTAATTAAGTTAGATAAACTAAAATAAAATAATACCAAATAAAAAATTGAAAAAAAATAATAAATATAGATGTATAATAAAATTTACAATATAATAAAATAGAATAAAAGATCAAAATTAAATAAAATAAAATAAAATTAATTAAAATGAGTTAAAATAAAATAAAATAATTCAATTAAAATATAATTAAATGTAATAGAATTATTTTAAATTAAACAAATTAATTTGCTGTTAAATTCCTAGCTCAGCAGGATTGATGTTTAATACAAGAGCCTTACTTTCCCCACTTCGTCTTTTTATGCGAAGATTGCGTCTCAACTCGTCGCGATATCCTCAGCTAGTGAAGAATTTTCCGACCGTTACTACTACAACAGCATATAACATTTGCCACGTAAACTATTTGCAAAATACTTTTAAATACCATTCTACACTTTAGCTTACACTCATAACTGCGTATTCTGTAAATAGAAGCAAACTTTTCTTGCTCGTACTACATCCGTTTATAGTCGGGACTTTTCGAGTTGATAGAGTTCTACTTTGTAAGAATATACAGGACTTTATACGTATTTGTAAATAGTTTTAGATAAATATATATAAAATTTATGTAAGCGAACATATAGGGTGTTGGGTTAAATAAAGGAGAAGACTTTATCAAGAAATTAAACAATATATGTACATATATATTATATTTTATGTTTAATTTTTACATTAAAATTTGTGATTAGCAGTGCACCAATATTCAAAGCACTGGAAAATTAATTAACAAATAATAATTTTTCGACCGAGTGTGATATAAAAACTTAGCCACGGCATATAATAAAATGTTAGTCCCTCCATTTTTTAGAAGAACATTAAGACTTACACTACAAATTAGAGTGGGAGCTCGGCTGTTTATTGATTATTGCGGATAGAAGTCGGCAGTTATATTTTCTTAAATAGTATAACTTCAGATAAACTCTACACCCTATACTCATAAGTACATAAGCTGTTGTCCCTACTTTCCGAGCACTTGAATATTCCCATCTGTTTCTCATCTACATGTGCAACACAAAGTATGTGAGTAATTTAAAAATACTTGGCAATGTCAGTTTTGTTTTTGCAAAATATGAAAGTTATTCATAGAAAGCTTTTGCTAATTCCACTTGTTCTTCCTCCTCCATCCTTTCTCCCTGCGGCATTTGAATGATGAAGTAACTACTTGAAAATGATAAAGTAACTGGAAAATGAAGTTTATGATGATAACGACCTGACTAAGTACCGAAGATGTTATGAGTATTTGAAGTTATATAAGGTTTAGCTGTGAAAATTTGCCTTAGACTTCCGTAAAAGAAAATACCGAAGTAACTGTGGTGGCAAACGTCAAGTGGTGGGTTAGCAAATTGCACTGGTACACTCGAACAAATTGGTATATAATGTAAATACATATGTTTGTATGTTGCAGCATAAATAGTGGCTTATAATGGTATTTCAGTAATTAAGGTTCCGTTCTTTGCAGCCTTAAGCGTTTTCTTAGAGAATTCAGACGAGCTCTACAGGAAGTTTTTAGTTTACTTCAAAATTTTTAGCAAAAATATTTGCGTTTCTTCACAGCTGGCTACAGTTTTGTGCGTGTAAACAAGCATATTCATATTATATGTAAGTAAGTTAAAGTGTGTTCCATTAGAAAACTGTTCGGTTTCAATACTTTATAGATTTTATTGAAAGTTGCAGGAACTTCTATTGCCAAAAATTTTCAGCTAATAAACATGGATTTTGACGCAGTGACATAAGTTGTCGACATGAGTGTAAATACCCAGTGGAAAGCACCTCCAGGTACTAACCGAGCTCCACCAAATAGGCACTTTAAACAGCGAGTAGCTGGTGCAGACCGAACTGGTAGTATTCACTAGAAGGTACGAAACGGCTGATTTAAAAACACCCTTACTCAAAGACACCGAGATCGCACTTTGTAATGAGGTTAGATACCTAGTCATAACGAGCTGCAGTTCTATAATACTAAATCCAACCCAACCAAATTTTAAGCTCTACATCACTTACGGAAGAGGAGGAAACATCGCAGAGAGGAACGAATGCGAAAATGAAGCAGATCTCTAAAATAGATGTCAAAGGAGGTTATGGAATTTACTCTGAACCTCATGCTATAGAATTAATTAAAGACACTGCAACGTATTCCAAGCGGTAATAACGGCTATAACGGTTTCCACTACTCTAACCCTTTGTAATATATTCTTACAGCCAAGCTACCATTAAGTCTCTCCAATGATAACAACATACTACCTCAAGGGTGGCAATAAAATGCAAAGATAGCTTAAACAAGCTCTCGACTGTACGCGAAATGTCCGTGATTTGGGTCCTTAGCTATGGAAACATCCCAGGAACCAGCATAGCGTAAAAAGGGATATAGTCATACAGCTTTGCTTGACAAAGTATCTACAGACTACCTTTCACCAGAAGAACCAATTGCAGATTGCGGAGCGAAATCGAGATAAACAGAACTAACTCTCTACTCCTTTTAAGCCGGACATATATAAGCATATCAACTAACGTCATAACCAGAAAATGTTTTATGGGGACTTATGGTATAAGAATGGGATGCAAACGACTTCTGGCGCAGATGTGCGAATATATTGTAGACGAGGAGAAATCTGTGGAAACCTACCTGGGTCACTGCCCAGCTCTCAGTTCGGTCTGCTATCGTATTTTCGGAAATTTCTTCCTCTATTGCCATGCACAGCTTGCATCGTAAGGCGTCTTTTATCTCCTGATTTTCATAAAACACATTTAGTGGTTTGTGCACTGAAAGCTTAAAGGAATCTCCTTAGCAAAACCAACATAGGTATCACAACGTGTCTATAGTTCTAAGTGAGCTTGAGCATGATAAGCTAACTGAGTAAGAAAATTAATTTGAATTTTTGTTGATTTTTTTTTTTACAAAGGTACCCGAAATTCCAGAAATATTTTCAAAAGATCAGTTAGTGAGAAAATTTTTTCCCCCCTGGATAATAATTTTATGCACGGCTTTTGAAGAGCTTACCGAAATCGCATATCCATAAAGCCAGATGCGTATTTTTGCGAATAAATAAATTTAACTTCGAAATGAAGTATTTACGCTCTAGATTGATGTACAGATGATTAAAATTTTAGTAGACTCCTATGACATTGTACGCACATTTTGCTTAGAGAAGACAGGAATTGCATAAGCAGCTGCCATGGTTGCTATGCAAGTGATTCCTTTGTATGTGCGCTTATGAAATTTCGCATAATATCTTGACTGCTGTCAGACAGTTATTGTAATGAATAAATGGAGACTTATGACTGACATTCATAATTTAAACATTAATATCGAAAAGTAGTTGAGGGGATGCCATTTGAAAATTAATTGCTTTTTGAAGATTTTTGTTCTTTAAATGCAAGCAGAAGAATCGCAAACTTCTTAAAATAATTTGCTAATTTTCTAGAACAGTTATGTTGTTTTTGTTTAAAGGCTATTATAAAAATGTAATATTTTTCACTCACCCAATGATAACTTTTCTCCCGAATCCGGTGGCAGCGTAAAGCCCAAGAGCGCCATCGAAGCGATTAAAACGCAAGGAATGATCAAATTAAAAAAATAATATAATGTGCGACGACGAATAATGATGGCAAATGTGATATCAATATATGGTTCCGGGCAGCAATTGTAGTAGATCTCGTTTCGTTTGCCGGGAACACCTGCGAGACAGCGATGAGCGAGATTTAAATTAATTATAAAGAAGAGCAAAAAATCTTAATAAACAAACATTTAGTACGAATGATGATATGCAATTAATTTTTAATATATTTTTTAAATATATAAATTTTTAAGCAGAATGAAAATATATTAAAAGCGAAAAACTTATGGGAAGCGAATAACTGAGAAAAATGTTTAAATGTTGCTAATGAAAATTTTTTATTTACAGTGAAATATGAATTGAAGTGAAAAACAGTGAATATCACTGTTACACTGTTATCTAATGAGTGAAAGTGTTGATTAAAAGTAAATGCGCTTGTGAGTGATAAAAGAGTTTATGTAAGCGAAGGAGTGAATGCCGGGAGTAAAAGTGGAAAAATGAATGTGTCAATGTGTATGAGCATATTTAAATAGTGTAAGTCTTTTTAATGTAGTATTTAACGTACACATATTATAACCAATACAAATAAGCAAATATTTATTGTAAGCAATATTGGTAATTCATACATTTTCTTGAATATTTCCGCTTCTAAATTCGTTTATTTTTTTAAATCTATTTATGTGAATTTATTTTTTCGTGCTTGGTGTGGTATATAAGTGTTAAGAAAAAAGTCTTATAGTGATACTATTCTTGCTTCATCAGTAACATACATATATTAAGCGCAAGCGGCATTCGCAAAAGCTTTTTAACTATTTCTTATTATTTATTTTAATATTAAGAATTTAATCGAATAGTTACATAACTACAACCTGCGATATATATTTATAAGGTAAATTTAAAACAAAAACTAAGAAAGTTTTAAATATATGATTTTAATATGAAGTGTTTTGCAAATAATTATACATTTTTTTAATATGAATAGAGATGAGGAAAAATTTGGGAAAAATACCGAGTAAGATATTATTCGTTTTTTTTTCATATTTTTCATATTCAACAATGTAATCTGTTTGCTTGCTAGTGACGCTATGACTCGAAAACGATTGAATCAATCTTGATGAAATTTCCAGAGGTTATGGATATGTGGGAAAAATCTTGATTTTCGAAAATTCCTAAAATTGACTTTTTTCCACGCGAGTTCTTCTTTATTATTTTTTTAAATTTGGCTTTTTTCAAACCTCTTAGAAAGAAAAACAAATGTTTTATAAAATGATAAGAGATGGCTAATAAATGATTTTCAGTGACGAAAATCAATAAGCCACAAGGATAGTCGCTGGAGGTGTGTGGCATAAATTTGGAAATTCGATGTTTTTCACATGGTTTGCAATTCCTTCACGAGGTGGAAAGCTTCTTCTTCTTTGTAACTTACGCACCGGATCAAAAATGTTAATTAACAAGCTGAGTTACATTGAAAAAAATTTAGGAAAATGTAAATTTCCAACTCAATATAAGTTCAACTTTTTTTCAAAAAACATAATTTCAAGCAGGACAACGCCTGCGGAGTCAGCTAGTACACATTTTTTTGGCCTCGTGCTGTGCGTACTAGTGTTAATGTGTTGGTTTACTTGACGACTTGGATATTGTTTGGGGGACTTTGACTTTGGATTGACAACTACGCTACTCTTACGGACTTCAATACCTACTTCTTTATATGAACGATAATTTGCTGGTGAGTTTGAGCTTTAATATTTGTTTCATAAGACTATAAATGTTTTAGATACTACGAGGTAATGAAACTGATTATATTGCCACAATTGTGGTAGCCCTGCAACCTTGAAACTCTCTTTTCCTTCTCCCGGCCATTGATATATCTGCCATAGCTCCAGCTTTTTTAGTTCGCCTGCTGTCTCGTGTTGAGTAAATGTTTCTCGTCATGAAAATGGAAAATCGAATCAAGAGCAACGCCAAATTAGACGAAACAGCTCAGCAAGTGTACGCTGAAATTGTAAAAGTGCATGGTGACAGTGCTGTTTGTCGTGCCCAGGTGTTTCGATGAAAGCGCATGAGCAAGTCAAAGGCGAAAACAATGATTTGATAGCCGTGGAATCTTACAAAAAAAATTTCTTCCAGCGGGGCAAACCGTACATCTACTACAGCCAATTACACGAAAGATTACGAAAAGCAGTCAATAGGGAGCATCCAAAAGTCGCTCGTAACTGAATGCTTCATCACGACAACGCGCTGCGCGACACCAAAGCGTGTCCTAGTATTTGGCATCTAAAGGGATCGCCGTGCTGTAACAACTGCCTTATTCGCCCGATATGTCGCCCTGTAATTTTTTTTGCTACCCTAAACAAAGTTGGTGGTCAAAGGAACCCATTTTGAGTCGACAAAGCTGAGTCGACATCTCAGTAGAAGCGTTCCAGAAATGTTGCAAAGCTTGGAAAACGCAATGGAATCATTGTATAGCTGCCCAAGGAGACTACTTTGAAGGGGATGGCAGAGTTGTAGAATAATCTTGAAATGTACATTTTTAATTGAATTAGTATCATTACTTAATTACTACACCTCGTATTGTTAATAATATTTTTTTCCTTAGATCATATCATGCCCAGAAGAAAAATACTGTCGTATGAGTAAACTATTTTAATTCGGAAACCATTAAAACAGTAAAATGCAAACACTGGGAAAAGCTTACCAAGTTGGTAATGTCAAAAATGCCATCTGTTGAAATGTTAAACATGATCAACTGTTATCAAAGACAAACTACGGAAAATACCTGTTACTAGCAACACTGCACAGAAATTTTCGCTAGCAAGATCAATCACATCATGAAATGCCACAGGACAACAGTTTGACAAATTTTTAACTGCTATCGGATATAACAGATAAATTTGAACGTAATGGACTGATTTAGCCAATTATAGATTGGACAGGATGTATGGAGCAGCACATTTATATGGGAGAATGTCGCCGAAATGAACCCGGTAAATTGGTGGAGAGGACACTGCAGGTCTAAATGGTCATAGTCACAAACGAAACAGACTGACCACAGGCAGGGCAGTAAACAAAGCTGGTGATGATGATGACGAACCGTTATCTACACCCAGGCAGTTGACTAAAAACGTTCGATTGTAAAAAAAAACCTTTAATAACTTTCGTAAAGTGTAGTAAATATTTGCTAGTAAGTAACTCGCGTTGTTTAATTTTTTTGTGACAAGATTCTTTCTGCAATTAACTAACATTTCATCACAACGCGTGGAAAAAATCCTATGATAAAACTAGAAAACATATTTTTCTTGGCATAAAAAACTGCTAGTCTTATGTTAGTTGCTGAATCAGGTTACACATTTTGGTGTTTCGAACAACAGGCAACAGCCGGTGGCCCATTGTCGAGCAGGTTCGAATGCAAGGGCAAACTTTGAAGTGGTCGTCAGTCATCAGTATAGTTCCGCGGTCAATCATCAAAAGGCAGAGCAGGGTGGCATCCTCTCCCCGAATCTACTCCACCATAGGGTGTTGCTTTGATCTATATGCCCACATGACTCCTCGATATTGAAAAACTTTGTTTAAAAGTTAACTGCTATCTCGATGACCTACTTACCGACCTCTACCCTTTTCACCAGCTGAATGAGGAAGTACCGGCTCAAACTTTATTTAAAACTCTATGGCGCAAAAATACGGACAATAAATAATCCAAAGTCACTGGTTGCTACATTTGGCAGCCTGTAAATTCCGTTAAAGTGTAGAGTGGCAAAATAATCCACAAATCTCTAACCGGCAAGACTTTTGGCAAAGGCAAGCTCAGCTAATACCCTGTTCTTTGGTATGAACTAGATAAAACAGATCGTTTCTTGGATCTCGCGTTATGCGATCTCTCTTTGGTGGTTCGATGTATTAAAAAAATTAAAAAACTTGGCGGAAAGAATTAGATATAAGACTAACATCAGAAGACCTAATAAATCAGGTAGCATAATAGAAGGTTCTTTAGGACCACCGATTTTCATACAACCGCCAGATTGAAAAAAATAGACTGTGTCATTTAATTCAGAAATCACTGATCACAGCCCGAGGTGTGTTTTAAGAAAAGGGGCGCAGTAATGAAAATTTACACTTTAGCGAGATTAACTAATTTATTCAAAAAACAAAAAAAAAGAACTGACGATGTCATGCGTACTTTAAAGAAAATCCCACGAAAACACTTTTGAAAGTCTCCGGAGAAAAGATCTAATTATTTTTGAACCTCTTGTGAAAGTATTTGATAAAATATTTCTGAAATCCGAGAATCAGTCTGAATAAAAAAAATTGAGCTGGTTACAAACCTCGGGGAATCGTAGTATGTGTTAAGGAGAGTTTATATCGCAAAAAAAAGAAGGAAATTACTACAATTATGGGTCGCCTTACGGAACGGAAACGCAAAGAGTTTAAAATGATTCTGCAAAAATTGTAGAAAAAGGGAGTAGCCTAAAATCTTAAGGAGCTTTCTCTGTTTATGTTTAGCACTTTGTAGAAGTTGCAACAACAGGTGTATATAAACGTCAATTCCTCAACTTTGCATTGAGGGGGCGAGAGGGGGTTAATAAGATCCTCACTGCCATCCTTATTAGCCCATTAAGAATATATTTCGGTTATTCAAATACAATAATATAGTTTGATATATCAAAATAATTTCCTAATTTTTTATTTAACAAAAATGTTATTTAACAAAAGCATTCCATAAAAATAATATTATTAGATTTTTATGGTGTAAGATGTCATAGGTATAAATAATGCCTTTCCCTTATTTTTTTTTTTTTTGCTGAAAAATGTAATATAGTTTTATCGAAATTAGTAATTTTTTTGTATTTTTTTTAAATTCGTGTCATTAAAAAATTTGCTGCAGCTTAAAATACAAATTGAACATTCTCCTTTAAACTATCAACATTTTACCAGAATTGGACTGAAAAAAGATAAAAACAAGAAACCAAAGGTACAAAAGTACAATTTGCCGTAAAAACTATATTTATTGCTCTATTTGGAAGACCAAAAACAAAGCATACTTTTGTGCACTAATGCCATGTTTGCCGTGCATTTTAAACACAATCGTATTTGTACAATATTTATGTGTGTGTGTAATTGAATTAA